TGTGTGTGTGTGTGTGTGTGTGTGTGTGTGTGTGTGTGTTACCATGGTTTTGCATTGAACTACATCTTTGGCCCTTTTTTCACTCTGAGACAGGGTCTTTAAGTTTGCTAAATTGTCCAACTAGGTTCAAACTCATGATCCTCATGCCTCAGCCTCCTCAGTACTGGGATTACAGGTATGTACCACCACACCTTGCTACTATCAATATATTTTCACATATTTCCTTTTTGCTTTAACCTGTACATTTTAAAACATAGTGAAGATGGTATTGACTGTACAACTTATACAATGCTCTCTCACTATGTCAGAAGTGTTTTCCACAGACACAGTCTTCTAATGGCTATGTACTGTTCAACAATCATATTCCAGAGGGTGGACATGTGGCCTGCTTCTGAGATTCCTCTTATAAACAGCACTTTGGGGCCAGGGATTTAGCTCAGTGGTTCCACCGCCTGCTTCGAAAGTGCAAGGTCCGGAGTTTGATCCCCAATGGTACAAAAATAAATAAATAAATAAACAAACAGCACTTTGATGAACATCTTACTAGATAAACCTTTTTCATATGATTATTTCTTTAGGATAAATTCCTAGAAGTGAAGTTTTGGGTCAAAGAAGCAACATTTTTAAGGCTCTCTATGCACCCAAATTGCTTCCTGGCAATCTGTCCAAACCCTTGCTCCATTGTGTGCTGGATGGAATCCTGCCTGGACAAAAGCTATCCTTGAAGTGGGGATGGAGCCAGAGGTTAAACAGCACCAAGGCACACAGAGGGAGAAATCTGTGGCCCTGGAAGGCAGGACCTACCATAAAACCCCTTTCACGGTGGAAACCCAGGAGCCACATGCAGGGACCATTAGATCCCAGGACCTCCTCTGGTGCCCAGAGGCATTCAGGAAATGGTTGCAGGCAGTGTTACCATGTGTCCAGCATAAGGGACAGGGGGAGAGAGAGAGAAAAAAAAGAAAAGCAAAGGATCCTTGGGTGAACAGGCCAGTGGCTCCCAGGGCAGGAGTGAAACCTGAATTCACTCCAGGTCTGGTGTTGCAAGTTCTCCTACACTACTGGTCTAGGGACCTCCCCCACAAGGCAAGTCCTAACCTAATTCACTCTCAAATCCAGCAGCTGAGAAGGTGCAGGAGGGAACACAGAATGTAAATGGAGTGCCCCTCCCTACACTGCCAGGAAACAGTAGCAACATTACTCAAGGAATCAATGAGGCCTCACGAAAACCAGTGGCGCTGGTTCTCCACCAGGATCTGGCCCACAGCATGGCTTCAGCCAGAGAGGAGAGGCAACTCCTATCTCGATGGTTTGAAGTGGACATGTTCTCACTCCTCTGGGATGATATTTCATAAGCACCTCCTGGTTGTCACCCTGACAACCCTGACCCCAAGTGGACAGGAGCAGATCTAGTGGCCAAGGTGGCCTGAGCTGGCCTGGGGGTGGCTATGGGGACAAGTGGGTGTACATGTGTGCTGGGAATGGGTGCTTTGATTCCTGAGTGTTCTCAGGGGTTGCAAGGCCAGGGAGGGTGGACCGACATCACAGCCACCCAGAAGCTGGGTTTGTGTGAAATCACAGTGTTCCAGGCCTTTCTTCCCCAGCTTTTGGTGCTGTTTTTGGTACTGTTTGCTTTCCAAGGGCAAGTGATGGATGAACAGGCTAAGAGTGGAGACCAGGAGGCAGGGGAGTAACCCAATGCTTCCTGATGTTTGGGTGCTACAAGCACCCCTCACTCCCCTGATCTTTGCTAATGATCACTAACTGAGCAAAATAATCTTCAAAGTAATAGGTGACAATACTCATGTGGCTCTAGACACATATTCCAAATGGGCTTTGGGGATTGCAGACTCTGAACACTGGCTAGGGTGGTGAGGCAGCTGTGTCCTGGTTCTGGCACCTGGGGCTGGTTGGGGCTGTCTTCTCTCCTCTGCATGCGGATTTGCTAGGCCTGCCTCATGCCTGTGAGGCAGAGTTCAGCTGTGAAATGCAACATGGAGCAGGTGGATGATGCATCAAGAACCTAAGGTCTTTTCTTTTAAATCAAACATTCACATAGAGCTTATAATATGCAAAGCTCTATTCTAAGGACTTCACTAATTTTA